CCTATCTGTATACAGATATAAGGAAAGTATAGGAATCATGATTTTTTTCGACCTCGAGTTTGCGACGGATTTTTACGTTTTGAGGTCCCCTGAATCCGTTTTGACTATTTTCGCGATGATGTCTGTGTGTGTGTGTGTGTGTGTGTGTCTGTATAACGCATAACTCATGAACCGATACACGTAAAAACACCAAATTTCAAACTTAAGCTTTGTTCCAGCGTCTAATGAGCTGATTAGATTTTGGGCAGAGTCGGAACATCTGGGGGGGTACTTTATAGGTGGTCATTTTTATATTTTATGGAATATATCTGTTATTTACGTTTGGGGAAGAAAATTCTTCAAATGAAAGTTACTTCTTATTTTATTATCTATAATTTTTGTTATATACAAAATTTTCCTAAAATGGTCCGTATTCGCGAAATTTGACAAAATGTAAAAAAATATTTTTTTTTATAAAAATTGTTCAAACAAAAGTTGTTTGTAATATAATTCTCTATAATTTTTATCCCATAGGTAATTTCTCTAAAATGGACCGTATTCGAGATATTTGAGAAAATGTGTAAATTTCGAAATTTGAAGAAAACTCAAAAATGGATAAAGAAAAAAACATTAAATTTTAAACTTAAGTTTTATTTCGGCCTGACGTGAAATGATTAGATTTTGGACAAAGTCGGAACATCTGGGGGGGTACTTCATGGGAGGCCGTTTTTATATTTTATGGAATATATCTGTTATTTATGTTTGGAGAAAAAAATTGTTCAAATAAAAGTTACTTCTAATATTATTATCTATAATTTTTGTTTTATGTAAAAATTTCCTGAAATGGTCCGTATTCGAAAAATTTGACAAAATGTGCAAAATTCTGATTTTTATGAAAATTGTTGAAATAAAAGTTGTTTGCGATATCGATCTCTATAATATTTGTTTATACATGATTTTTTTAAAATGGACCGTAATGGAAAAATTGTAGGAAAAGTGCTAAATTTAAATTTTTCAGTATTTTCATTTTCAATGAATATCTATAGAAAAATGTTTCGCGGTAGATGTATGTGGACAATGTATATATTTAGTTTATCCTCTAAACATTTATAGAGATGCTGCAATAGGTTGTACAAAATAACCGGAAAAAGCCTGTAATAACTAGATAGGAAAGTCATGTGTTGGACACATCAGATTTTTAAATACATAAGGAATTATTTACCTGGTACTGATTTAACGTTTATCTTGTTTATTTCATTTGTATTAGAGATGATAATGTAAGTCATATAATTTCCATGTTATGCTAAAAGACGAGGTCATAGCTCGTCGGCATCAACTACAAAAGAATTAAATGAGAGATATCCTTCTGGTCATTATTTATTCTTGTGACCGTGGTAACTATTAATTAATATTCATCATAAATTTATCAACTAAATTAAGTTTAAAAAAATACGTGAGGGGCGGGACTATTATCCAAACTCCCAGAGTAAGTAACAAACATATTTTAATTCAGCCTACCTCTCTATCTATATTGAATAACATTCATTTCTTATTACTTACTCGTTATTAAATATTTTTGAATTCCAGCAAGTTTAAAAAATCTTATTTCAATTATAAGAGCATCAAGAATAAGTAATATGACAGATCTCTGTACATTTACTTATTTAAAATGGAAACAGGTAAAGAGAGAGAGTCTGTGAGATTATTGACAAAGATACCGGACGAAAGTTATTTTTTTATAATTGGCAATTTGAGTCTGATATTTTTCCAATTAGCTGAAATACTGTCATGTTTTAGTTTCAATTATATCGTATCAATGATAAAGAGATTGTTTATATACTGTTTGACCCATTTAGAAGGATTTATCATAAAAAATTTATGATTGTTTATAAATGTTATCTATCACCACTTCTTTTTGTTCTATGACCAACAACAAAAAAATTTAAATGGGGTCTGAACTATCTAAGAAATAGAGAGATAGAAGAACATAAATACTCTTAGTAAATAAAAAATATTACCTTCATAAGTGCCGCCAGGGGGCGAAAAGAGCAATTGCACAAATTATTCTCTATTAAGGCTATTTTCGCGAGTCACTATTTTAGCATTATCCATCTATCTTAATTATTTATCATCAGTATAATTTTATTTTTTGCTGAAGAATTCAACGGAAACACCCTGATAATCTCCAGTCTTCTAATTTGTTTGTTACATCCTATTTTTTTAAATAAAAATTAAAAATGAGAGAGAGAGATATGCTTTATTGTCGTAAACAAATTTACAAAAATTTTATAGACAAAGCGTGTAACTTAAATACTAAACATATTATAAAAATAACTAAACAGCAGAAAAAACAAACAGAAACAAACAGACAAAATAGGAATAACAATTGCAATGGATATGCAATATCCGTCATTATAATTATTCTAATTTAATTTTTAAATTTAAATTTAAATATAAATATTTAATTATTTAATTAATGCCATTGTATGTGGAACTCAAATGTCTAAGGTACGTTATAAAATTCTGCTACTGTGTAATATGGTCTTTCTAGAAGAAAAGCTTTAGCCAGTCTTCGGAACTTATCGTATGTATTTATAGATTTTAATTCCATCGGAAGGTTATTATACAATTTTTTGGCATTGTAGGTAATGGAATGTTTTAATAGGTCAGAAGTGGGCATTGTTAAATAAACATCAGTCTCTAAATTTCTTGTAGGATATCTACGAGTCTGTCTTTCGGATAAATTTTGAATGTGCTTGCGAACTAAGCAGACGGATTCGAAAATAAATAGAGCAGGAAGGGTTAGAATTTTGAAATTTTTGAAGTAATTTTCGCAATGTGTCCTACTACTTAAACCAAATACATAGCGGATTGCTCTTTTTTGCAGTTTAAAAATAGATTCGAAAAGGTATAAGCTACAAGAACCCCAGAAAGGTAAACCATAGCATAGCGAAGGTGAGATTCGAATAAGGAAAAGTAGGTTATTAATGCAGTAGAAGGAGTCAGCTCTTTAGAAACCGATTTAATGGCAAAACATGCGGAGGATAATTTTTTTGCTAAGGTATCTATATGAGCAAACCATTTTAGAGAATCGTCTGTATAAAGACCTAAAAACTTGATTGAAGTCACCGTTTGGATCAGATTATTGTTTAAAGTTATAGGTTGTAAAGTACCTCTGTAAAACAATGCTACAGTTTTACTGGTGTTGAAACAAAGTCCATTCGAATCAGACCAGGACTTAATAGTCACTAGATCTTCACTTATGATAGATTGTAATGTCTGCATGTTAGAATTATTCCAGGTTACACTGGTGTCATCAGCAAATAAAGTAATTCTACCACTTATTCTTAAGTCTGTGATGTCGTTGATGAATAATAAAAACAAAATTGGACCTAATACTGATCCTTGAGGTACTCCACTGCTTATTGCTAGATTTGTAGAATCCTCACCATTCGCCCGCACCTGTTGATTTCTATTTTCTAGGTAAGTTTTAAACCATTGTAAAGGAGAACCCCGTATGCCATAAGTTTGTAACTTATTAATTAAAATATCATGATTTACACAATCGAAGGCCTTTGCGAAGTCACAAAATACTGAAGCGGTGAAAAGTTTATCATTAAGTGATGTGTATATTTCATTAAGAACGGAAAACATTGCGTCGCTAGTCCATTTTTTAGGTAGAAAGCCATACTGATGAGCTGTGAGGATGTTATGCTTGAAAAGAAAGGGCAAAAGACGGTTTTTCATTAGCCGTTCTACTATCTTCGATAAGGTAGGCAATAACGCAATAGGTCTATAGTTACAGGTTTTGGTTTTGTCGCCACCTTTATGAAGTGGGATTATTATAGCTGTTTTTAGACAGTTAGGAAAGAGACCAATTTCAAAGGATTCATTAATCAGTGAAGTTAAAATGTTGATTACTACATCCGGTATATTTAGAAATATTTTGGTGGACAGGCCATCAATTCCACAGGAAAATTTATTTTGGATGTTGTTTATGGTTTGCACTAGTTCATGCTTGTCTACTGGTCTTAGGAAGAAACTTTCAGTGATCCTTTTAGTAGGTAGGAGGAAGGAGAGAGCATCCTGACTCGGAGCTATGTTAGATTTGATATTTTTACTTACATTTATGAAATAATTGTTTAGTTCATCTGGGGTTCATCTGGGGCACTGTTTGAAGAACGGGTTTTATTCCTTAAGTCATTTATAATAGAGTGAATGAAATAGATATAAATAAAATTAAAAACTAATTGAGTTTTGTGGTAAACCGTTTTCCAATAATATTTTTATTTCGAACTCGTGAAAATATTTCTCTCTTTATCACATACCTGGAAACAACGGTGTGAAAATCTACCATATTTTGGTTTTTCTCCTGGTAATGGATTTTCATGTAGTAAAGGCCAAAACAATAATAACGTAAACAGTATTTCTAAATATATTTACTGCCAATTAAATATTTGTTTGTTCTTGTAATAATTAATCTTGTTTATTATTATAATAATATTTTATTTACAGGAATCTTCCATGCAATAAATTAAAATATGCTCGGACAAAGATGCCTGTTCGACAAAATAATAAACAGTAAGTGTATCGTAGCTCTTTTCGATATTTTACTGAATTGGTAAATATTTAAGGTTGCTTATTTCTGAACCTGGACAAGTAGAAGCAGCCGAGATATGTGTTGAGATTCAAAAAGAAAACAAACCATCGATATCTTTTGATGCAAATAATATCGGCAGAAGAATTGTAGACATTCCCTATTTTTTCAATCCATTATTTCTCTAAATAAACATTAGCCATTCGATTGTGACTTTGGCAATATGGAGAACACATAATTGGTATAATAATCTGCTTTAGACTTCTATGCAAAATGTGTAATCTCAGTACAAATTTGAACACTGAAAATCTAAATGCCATAATGAACATACCACAAATGTCTTTTTAATGAGTTGGCCAATTGGCCAGACTAAAAATATACAATTACATTAAAAAAAAAAAAAAAAAAAAATAGTAAAACTTACCTGTATGTGGCATTTTTTTGTTCCTTCCAGTAACAATGATTTCTGAAAAAAAAAAAGGCAAATTAGTGGCTAACTCTTAAAAGTAATTATATTTAAAGAACCTTGTGTATTTAATATTGACATGAATACAAAATTAAAGAGCTCAATCATTGGAAAATTGATGGTTTATTCAAATATCACAAAAATGCTATAATTTTTGATGAAAATAAATAATTGGATCTATATTATTCATTACAGCAATCACTAAACATTAATGCAATAAAAATGAAAATGGTAGATTTTCAAAAATAATACTGAAAAACAAATAATTTATTCTTTTCTCACGGAAATAAGAAGTAATTAGGTGCTAGGTCTGACCCATTATTTCTGTTTTGGGCATTCAAATACTCATTTGTTCCAGATCTTGTTTTTCGCGAATCTTTTGGAGAAATTGAGGCGAACAATCTGCACTGTACTATTCTGAAATAATAATAATACGCCCATCTTCCAGTGCTAAAGTGGAAACATACCCAGTACCAAAAAGAGTGGCGACCATCTCTATATTTCGATTTTTTTCATTAACGACTTTTGTTGGAGTCAAAGACTTAAAGTGATGATTGTTGTTTTTTTGTTTGGGATTATAGCAGTATCCATAGTTTCTTACATGTGATGATACTGTAAATTAAATTAGACCACGGTCAAAGCGATCCAAAGTATATCTGCACCATCCTACACCGTCAAGTTGTGACTAATCCACCAAAAAGAAAGCTTATAATCTTTCAACTTTCAAGTGTTAATAGCTTCACACCAATCTTTAAAGTTGCTTAAATATTCTTTAATTATTTTCCGAAAAAGATCAATAATTTTTCTTTAACTGCCATTTATCAATCGTATACGAGATTTGTCAAAAATAAAGGTACTTTATTTTTGGCCAAAATAATTTAGGTTTCAGATCATGCTCAACTTTTTATGAAGAATAATTTTTTTCTAAAATTAATAATAAAAAAAGTTTTTCATATATGTCGCTTATTACGTAGACACGAAAATTTGTTATAATTAATTTTAGGAAAATATTATTCTACATAAAAAGTTGTGCATGATTTAAAACCTAAAATACGGTCATCTAATATCAAATTTTATCAATTGTATACGAGGTTTGTCAGAAAGTACTTTACTCTTGAGTAAAATCATATTTTTAGAAAAACCTATATCAGGCGGTTGCATTTTCGGTTTCAGGCCGTGTATAAATTTTTATGAACCATAACTTTTTTCCTAAAATACAAAAATTTTTGATTTTTCTTAATTGTTTCGCTCCGTTATATTCTAAAAAAAAAAATAAAATACGTTTTGTAGCTAAAATTCTCAACAAAAAAAGCCAAAGCGTCCATGAAAAAACTGCTTATAATTATTATTTTCGCTCTATAATCAGAGTTCAATCAAACCAGATAATTATAACTACATTATTATAAGTTATACAAGGATATTGTCGTAAAAATTTAAATATGCCGTCGAAATTAATGTAGATCCGAATGAATAAGGGTGGAAAAATGCGTGATAGGGGATGCAAATGAAACTTAACTACCTGAATAATTTTAGTAGAACACGTTGCGCTTGTGATTTTGATTTACATTAATTTCATATTTTTCAGTATAAAGGGTAATCAATATTTAAATTTACACAAGCTATAACTCCCTACCGTAACAACCTGTATAATTATGGTCACGCTTTTTATGACTACTAATTTTTTCGTGTGTGCTGGTGATACGTTCGTGCGAATAACATTGCTTTTCGATAGGTTTTCTTTTAGATTAAAGTATTTAAAGAAAAATATCCAAGACGGGGAGATTTGAAGAAAAATAAATATAACTAATAATTTACCCACCAGTAACTAATTGTAATGAAGATAAATAAGCATAAAAAACTATTAAACATTTCATTCTAGTTGCTTACAAATTTAATTAGTGACATTTATCAAATCAATGCAGTAAAAAAGACCCAAATGTGCCCCCAATCACGACGTAAAAAATTGTAACTCTGCTAGTTTAAAATGTGTAAATTGTGCTAATCTCAAATCAAACCATAACATAAATATTTCTGTTGATCATGTCGCTTAGGAGAAAGAGGCGTTCCTCATGATCTGCTATAGTCTATTTTTATGTATGAGAGAGTAATAAAACAGCATTTCTAATGCAAAACTTAGTACGTTCATTTTAAATATTTTTACAGAATAATCTAAATATTTCCTAAAATTGTAATAAATGTACCTGAGCTATTACAAGTTTTGGGTCTTTTATTGGTCCTTTATAAACATAAGCTGTACAAAACAATAGAAAAACGTTTGGACAGGCCAAAAGCCCTGCGTATTAAAGATTACATAGCCGTATCTTAAGATTATTTTTAATAAGTACCTATTTGCCAATTTGGTTCTATTTTAATTACAAGAATTTCTTACAGTAATCGAATTATAAGTAGATAAATACCTTCCCAACAAATTTCACCGAAAATGCGATTATAGGTTTTCCATTTAGTAAGGAGGTTCAGGTTGTGTATTCTTGACAGTTTACTAAATGTCGTTTAGTTGCAACTTGCAAGGTGTAGTGTGAATTCTAGTGTGATCATGGAAAATTTGAAAGGGTCGCGTAAACGACAAAAAATCGGTCCTTTAACAGTTAATGAAAACACATTAATATTGAATTGTTTTAAATCATTTACAGACAAACATTTATGTAAAAGTGTTGATGACACAGTGGAATTAGTTAGTAGTACGCTTGGTGTTGGGAAATCTACGATTTACAGAGTTGTTAAAGAAGAGAAATGTGGCGAGTTTCAAACTGCACGTAAAGCTCCAGGAAAACCAAAATTTAAATTAGAAAATCTTTTGAAAGAAAGACTTCGAAGGAAAGTGCATGCGTTCTTCTTTAGAAAAGAATTTACGACAGTAGACAAAGTTCTTGCCACGGTTCGAGATGATACCCTGAAATGAGTCGAAGCACACTATGGAAACTTTTAAATGAAATAGGTTTTCTATGGAAAAAGCATTCCAGAAAGTCTATTTTAATAGAAAGAAGCGATATTGTAGTATGGAGAAGAAATTACTTAAGGACCTTAAAAGAAATGAGAAACCAAAGAAGAAATATATTTTATTTAGATGGATCAACGAGGGTCATAATAAACCAAATAAATTTTGGCAAGATAAAACTGTTATAAGTCGAAGATAGGCTTTTTTAAATAATTTATCTACTGGTTTAAATCCACCATCAGGAAAGGGGCGCAGACTAATAATAGTACACATCGGTAGTTCAGACGATTTTGTTAAAGGTGGTTTATTGACTTTTGAATCTACTCGTACCGATGACTACCGTGAGGATATGAATGCTGATGTCTTTAAAAAGTGGTTCGAACAAATTATAAATCTTCTTCCTCAGAACTGTATAATAGAAATGGATAATGCAAGTTATCACTCGAGACTTATAGAAAAAATGCCCACAACCAAGTGGTTAAAAAAAGATTTACAAAATTGGCTAAATTCAAAGAATATTAAGTTCCATCCCGGTTCTGTGAGAAAAGAACTGTATCATTTGTGTTCCCTTCATAAAGAGAAATTCAAAAAATATGAAATTGAGGAAATTGCAAAAAATCGTGGGATGACGGTGGTTAGATCACCACCATATCATTGCGAAGTAAACCCGATTGAACTGATATGGGCACAGATAAAGGGAGAAGTTTCAAGAAAAAATAATTCTTTTAAAATGAGTGATGTTAAACAGTTGTTTTTGGAGGCTGTAAATAATGTAAAGCCTGAAAACTGGGAAAAGGCAGTAAATCATACGATTAAAGAAGAAGAGAAAATGTGGAAGTTGGACAATATTACTGATGAAATGATCGAGCCACTCATTGTAAATATTGGTTGCGACAGTTCATCTTCTGATTTCGATTCTGATTTGGATTTGTAGGTAAGAAGCAGGGCTGGTATATCTAAGGGGGTCGCGACATAGACCCAGTAAATAGATGAGGGGGTGACTGAGGCTAGGGGGGAAATAGTAGTCAGCTTAAGTTGGCAACACTTTTCTGACGTTCGTTTGAACGAGCATCGTGCATAATAATGTCAATATGGTACAAGTGGAATGAACCACTGTTTTCCTCGTGGCTCGTAGTCCAATGTCGAATTAAAACTAAAAACATTTTGTACTTTTTTATATACCAAATTATGCAATTTGTTTCCACTTTATTTTAATGTTACATGAATAGGTACATGCGTTTGTGCTGTGGTAAATAAGTGTTCATGTGAAAATTATCTCTTAAACTACCTACATTGTGATTGCACTCATCTCAAAACTGAATGCTGTAAATCCAGGATTTAAATCTTTCATACCTAGTGTTGCTTGGGATAAATTTAAAAAAGGTGTTGGACAAAACGTTTACAACCTAAAATTGCATGGAAAACATGAAGAAGGAATTTTACCTTTATGACATTGTCTTTCAACATTTTTAAGTGACTGTGGTTTGGTGAATGGACTGTTACCACAGTCAAAAGATTCAAAGTAAAAAAAAGTGACCAAGTTCTAATAAGAATACATAAGTTGAATATGAAAATGTAATTACTTGATTTAAATGTGATTTAATTAAGAGTTAAATAGAGGTTTCATATAAACAAAGTGCTGTAAAATGTTAATAAATGCAAAACCATTATTAAAGAGAAATTAGTTATCATCAATAAGATATTTTGTAGTAGCTGGTCTCTATAAATAATAAACTTGAAAGACTGAATTAGTAGTCACTTTTACACTAGAAGTAAAAAAAAAAAATGTGTGGTTGAGACTAATTTATGTATTTAATAAAAACATGTTTAACATAAAAGCAGGTGTTATTTGAAATGTTTTATTTTAGTTTAATAATCTTTATAAATTGTGGGTACATTTGATCCGAATCTTGCAAATACTATAAAATGCATATGCTTCTATATGGTTAGTTTGGTTAGTATTGGAGTAGAAGCACAAAAGTTTTGAATAAAAATATAGATACCGGAATATTTTGCTTGATTACTAAACTTTGGATGTTTTTGT